AGAGATCTGCATAGCAGAGATAAGCAACTATGAAAACATAAATTCTGACAGGTTTCTGTTGCCTAGCCTATTCAGTCCAAAAGTGAATGCTTATGAAGTGGTCCCTTAAAACAACAACTTTATCTAACTTGACAACCTATGTAGTATTTCAACATCCAAACACGTTATGACGTCACTTCCCATGGTACAGATTTAATAGGAATCAAATAATTGTTTCAGCGATGTTAGTGCCAGTTCTCAGCTACCGTAGTATTCACTCAAATGTCATTCTATCCAATAAGTGATGCCTACTTCAGAAATTTAATATTTAATGTTATGCAAGGCTGATTTCCCCATTATCTGCCGCCCTTTTCACAGTACTTTCCATATGGACAACTACTCATATTCATACCACATACTTCACACTACTAGAAAACCGACAGCATACACTTGAGCACAGCTGAATTGGTAAGACAAATGTACATTTCAGCAGATTATAGACATATTGTCTTAAGCACCTCTTAAAAGTGTCTGTCAACATCTAGGTAGAATAGTTTCTACATAAACTCATTGTGAACATAGAAATACATAAGCACTGATTAAATTATATTTGACACATTGCTAGTCTCTCAGTATAAATACGGTTGAGCAGACAGCAGTACTATCACATAAACACCAATACGAAAAATAGACCAGCAGAACAGTGTAGTGTACATCTGTTAAAATGCCTTGGAAAACAATTCAAACGTCGATAAACACGCAGGCGGGAGACAACAAACGTCGTATGTAGTAAAAGGCATATTATTGATATGCAGCATACGATTGATGTCAAAACAATCCTCAATATTATGCACCAAACCAGACAATTGGGCATACTAAAATATGTTGAGGAGACAGCCATTCGAAAAACTATGCCTCCGTTGTATGTGCAGAACAATTTATTGCTACACTTATGTTATGTACTACTGTGACTGACCGACTAACTGGCTGACGTGAGCAGTTGGATATCATTCACATATCGAAGTGACCTACACAATGAACAACCATTTCGCTCGTTTTGGGACAAGCTCATCACCGGTGTACCTGGTATTACTCATCTCAGAAAACCGATTTAATTCAAACCATCCTAATTCTGCCCTCTTAGCCATTTGGGTGAACAAGTGATACATTCAATCAAATTCGCAATTTCAAATTTTCACAGTTCGAGGAGGTGAAATTTCAACACACAGTTTCCTTCGAAAACCTGAACATTTAACGACTGACGTGCAGAACTAATCGGTGTTTACATCACTTGGTATGGCTAACAAACACTAATATTTCATGTGAAGGGTAGAGTGTTCATCTATTCATGCCTCTGTGACTGCTTTCCTGATTGCCACTTACGATATCGACTAGATCACATACTGCCGTATGAATAGCTTCCGTTTCTTAAGGAGACTCTGATGAACATTTACCTCCTCAAACTGTGTAAACTTCAAAATCGATCAACTGGCAATCCTTATCCAACTATATTACCAAGAGTGATGTCAACTGATGTGTGCTGCTTACGCTTAAATTCCATATGCTTAAATCCTTCATCTTTTTCCAGTTTCAAACAAACTGAATTCACGAGTGGGTGCGTGTGTTCAGATTCTTCGAGATGTATTGTGCAGATACATAGCACTTTCAGATAAACTTTGTCTTTTAATAACGCTAACCAAATTGATTATGGCAACTAACTGTTTCAAGCAACCAAACAATGGGGAACTTCATATGAGATATAACAAAAATATGCATTTAAATACAAACTGAATTTCAGCACAGACGAAAAACTTTGCATCCTGCAGCAATACCCATAAAATACCGCACACAGTGCAAACCAACTAGTGACAATATATGCACACGCGCACACACACACACAAACAGCTTAGAGGATTGGAAGAGAAAATATTACATCAATATTTACCAATTTTAGTACGTCGACGAATTCCACAAGGCACAGAATCCAAATCTGAGAAACTGTCTTTCGGTGAATCCCCATGAGACACAGTTGACTCATGTGGCATAAGCATAGCAGGTGCACGAAACATATAACACAATGGATAGTATATTAGATTGATACAAGAAAATGAATACAAATCTGCATAGCGTAGTACTTGAGATGAGAAAAATGTATGTCGCGAACCTAAAATCAATGGTGGAATGAAAAACAAAAGGTGAATTCAACAATACACCGTAGGACAAGAAGTTGGAAACACAAAGATAGAAAAGGCGTGATACACAGGAATAAACTTCGAAGCATTCAGTACATTCGCTCTCCTAACTTCAAAGTACCCACACAAACAATAAATAATTACCTTTATGCTGACAAACAACTATTATATTATCTTTTAGAAAGGCTCAAATTTCAATTTCTAGAGTTGTAGAGTTTCAGTGTTCAAATGTCATCAAAAATTGACAAGCAAATAAACAACATTTATGTGCACTAATCAGTTATTGAACGGTGAAACTGTCACACTATCTAGTGGTTCATTGCTCACCGTATGATATCCCACAACTGAGTCACAACATCACCTGACAGCACAGTGCATGCTCCATTATCTCACAAAACGTATTGTCTCCTTAAAGATTTCAGATATATGTATTCAGTAGATTTTCAATAAGAATTCTAATGCTCACATTGCTTGTTGTATAGTAGATGTAAGCATCATCATTTTTATCTGTATGCGATAATAACCCTACTGTTTTCAACTATTAATAAATGTCCAACTGTCTTCATGTGACCAAAAGGTTTACAAAAGATTACCACTTAATATGCGCTAAGATGAAGCATAATTTGAATACAAGTCATGCAAGCAAATCTTAGACAAATCACACAACTGTAAGCAGAGTAATGGGTACGCAGTCGGTAGACTTTTATTCTCATAATTTTCTTTTACTTCTTCGAAACCTCTATTTCCTTGATAATCAATCCATTTACTTATATTGCACCTAGTGATTTGCTTTCGGGTTCTTACAACCAAAAGAAAATCTACGTGACAAAATGATGATGATTTTTATGCTTAGAAGAAATACACACACAACACACATCCCTAGTACCACTATCAGGCTACAATCCTCTATAATCTGCTTAGGTATTTAACATACGAGTTTAGATTATTCTGTAAATTAGTAAATACACAGATTAAGAATTTCGTATAGAAAAATAAAGAGGTCACAGAAGTTGTGTCAACATGAATTAGTGGGAGGGGGCGGGGGTTGTCAGTTAGAAACTTGGAAAAATCAGCCATTGACCTGATAAATCATCAGACCTAATCATACATTTGAGTCTTATAGTTACTTACAATATATGCGGAAAATATTAAAACTAACTTGTGTTGGAAACTATCTGTATACACGATACTACTCTCTATAAGTAGTGCAGGCGCGCATAACTTTGCATAGGGTTGTTGTATGCAGGGACAACAATCAGTCATATTCATCTGTTTTCTTATATAACTTGTCCATAGACATATGGATGGGAGTAAGTCTGTTCGACTTCAATGTCTCGTTCGTTGATTTGCAGTAAACAGATCACATAATTAATCCTTTAAGGTGAAGACA